GAGAAAGTTAAATTAAAAATAAGCCATTGTTTAATATTTCACTTTATTTATGAATTACAGAGAATCATAATCAAGACATAATTACTTAATAAAATTCAATAAACAATTCAAATATAACATTGAAAATAAGATTATAATATTGTGTAAAGTTAGAAAATTAATATTAAATGCAGTGTTAATATTACTGCATTAAAATACAAGCTTTATAGATATTTAAGGAGATCAATTTAGTTTCTTTGAATATAACTAATTTCAGACTCTTAAAAAAGGAATACTATGTGATCACATAATTCGGATAAAAACAATTTTGCTTTAATGTTGGTAACTCAAAATCGCTAAAATACATAGGAATATTTAAGCTCCCTAAAAAATTATTCGCGGTTTCGTGAATTTGATTTTCTTGCCTAGGAGTCTATATATCACTGTCCTCTCTATTTTCTCCACTAATTAGCTGTGCACGTACAAATGTGTTGCGGTACGAAAGCGAGAATACCTTGTATAATAGGACTATGAGGCAATCTGACCCAGTTTTCAGAAATTAAAAAACATATTATGTAGCCCCTTTTGATTAAACTTGTCTACAGGTGTCCATGGCCTAAAAAGCCACTAACCATCAGGATAGACTATTAGCTCCTTTATATATTATTCTCAAAAAAGAAAAAGGCTTTTTCCTCAAATCACATTATTTCGGCAAATAATTACAAAAGTCTAAATATGAGCAGATTTGCTTTATGGTTGAAGATTAACTCTCCCTAAAAACCTAAAATTTATTTCATGTCTGATTATATTCCATCCCATATTGAAGACACGTTTTGTTCTCTGTAACGATCCGATTTATTACATACGAAGTGCATGTAAAACAGTTTATGTTACAACTATTCATTCAGCAACTTAGGATTAAAATGTAAAAACTAAATGAACTGGTACTTATTTTGTTTTGAAAAAAGGGGTCTTCATGCACTTCATTTACTGCAAAACAGCTTGTAAAAGAAAGAGAAGCGTAAAACTAAACAATGTAATTATAAGAATTTTATATAATTTATGCAATTATCTATGGAGGAAGTGTTTACTTCGTAGTGCGAAACAGTTTACCCGATCAAAAACAAGGGATGTGTTTTATAGACTATTCTTATTTTATAATCGCCTTTAATAAATGAGTTCTGTTATATATTAAACAAAAACTAACTAACTTTTAAAATAAAAAAATATCAGGAATTAAGTCTAAATCTTATACATAATAAATATGAAGAGCACAATATAATTAAAAGTAAGCAATAAATAATTTTTTAAACATTGCACTTTAGCTACATGTAGAATGTAGACCATACAAAATAATAACATTTTGAAATGCTGAGACATAGTTGACTATAGGAGGCATGTGTCATTCATTCAAATATTGATTAGTCTTACGAATCGGGTCGATCATTCAAATGGATCATTTCGAGTTTTCATACTCTGTGATCTGTGAGACCCGCTACACAATATTATGGCTCGTCGGACACTAATGTATTCTTTGGTCGTAGATCCTGTCAATCGCTTGATTCGGATCATTCAAAAAATGTAATGCAATAATACTTCGATGCGACCTGGGTAAAATTAACGAATCATCCACGATTGATACATGTCTATACCTATAGTCACTATAGGCATAAATTGTGAACTTATTAAACACTATCCCATAATTATTAAAGGCCGGAAACGCATCTGCGATTACCCTGGTGGTGCAGTTGTTCATGGGCGGCGGTAATCACTCACCAGCAAAACTGTGAGGTGATTGCACGTCAAAAATGAAAACTACTTAGCTTCACAAACTTAATAATAATAATTTATGGGTTGGTAAGAAATATTTTTTGGAAGTATTTTTATTAGAAATTATTTTTATCAACATATTATTAGTGCAATAAAATTTTCAATTATTGCGCTGTTTTGAACATTATGACATGAAAAATAATGATATTATCTATATAATACAAACAAATTTATAAATACGTTACGTAATTTTATAAATGACAGTCACGCGCGTTCAGTACTTTTCCCCCCAACCCAAATGCCCGACGTGCCTAAAGAAGCTTTCACTTCAAAAATCCAACACGTTACCTCTGTCTACTGCCGAAGTGCGTATTAAATTTTGTTAAGCTATACCGTAATTAATGTTTAATATTAATTTTACCTCAATTCTGCAGTTTCTTTAAAAAAAAATAGTTATGCTTTTGATTAAAAATCCCCAATGAATTATGTAATGATTTTAAATTAATTTCATATATTGTGGTAAGAGCATTTTTCTTTTTCATTCATTCATTACGGCCTATCAAGAGTTCACTGCTGAACATAGGCCTCCTCCATAGATCGATTTTTCGTCATTAGATTCGAATTTTAAATACCTATTTAAAAAGTAGACTACAACGAGGGCTTATAATCTTACGCTCACCAGATGTCACCGTAGTCAGGAGTGAGGTGAACTTATTTGTCACGCAGATGGAAACAGTGTCATCATCATTGAAAAGTTGCATTTTAAATAAGTTTTTCGGTTTCTAGTGTATGTTTATACACAAAACAATACCTCAGTACTGTACCTGTGTGTTGTATTTTTAATTATTTACACATCTTTAACTTTTTTTATTCTTCTAGTTTTGAAAATATCCGTGGTTTAGTTTATCATTTAAAATAAAATAATGTTTTTTAATTGAATATTACTAATATTTAAGAAAGAAACATTAATCTTCACACTTTTCTAACTAACAATTTAACTTCTTCACACCATAAAATTTGTTAAATATTTCACCCTCACCCCTACATGGCGCCACCCTGGTTGTAGAAAAAGACGTGGATGCTATGTTTGTTTCGGGAGACAAATAAGTTTGCCAAGAACTGCCTAAGTTTTTTGTTCATGTGATTAATATGAATTTTATAAATTCAATTACAGGACAGTTACAAAAACTAGAGGAAAAATCATGAAGGCAACTATGCGCATGTATAATTTCTTTTTGTTGTTTTAGATAATTATGGCTGGCGATTTAACATGAAAGATTTGGTTTTACTAGAATTCAAAACTAGGCCCTCGTCATGACACCATTTTGCTAGGTTGTCGAATTCAGTCTGTAATTGGTCCAAAATCAGAAATATATTCTTTCCACTAATAACTACTTATATATTATAGTGTTGTCGGCAAACTGATAACATGTCCTGTATTTAATCTGACTATGCATACCATTTACCTAAGACAAGAAGTGTAAAGTCCTTAAGCTGATCCCTAAGCCATGCCATTAACAGCTGTGATGGTATCACTGCAAGTGTTATTGATATTTCCGGTAACAACAAAATTAGATTATAAGGGGTACATACAGCTCTACTAATTTTGATTATGATGTACTTTATACACTGACCTCCATTGTAAAATTCTGATTTTGTTGTAAGTACAAAAGTCTAATTGTTTTTATGCCTCCTTTAAAATTATTTTAAAAACGAGATAAACCTTTAAAAATGTATATCTAAGAAAATCCTATTTACAAAATTTGAAGAGAAAACTAGCGTTGGACAGAATTGTTACCAAAAATAATCATAAATCTACATTTTAAAAACTTCGGCAAGGCTCAATTTTTGGGGAGATTTGACAACTCCAATAATGAATTAATTTTTGTTAGGATAAAATATTATACCACTTTAATTCAACATTTTATTTACAAAAAATATCTTTATTGTAGTGATAATTGTAAAATAGTTCACACCATTATAACTTTTATACATAATTCATGTACTATTTCAGTATATCAATTTATTAAGGCTATTTAATACAATGATGTAATGTCTGAAATTGATAATATTACGTGTATATTAAAATTCATTCACAAAACTACAACTCATTTTTGTTTTGCTATTCCAATATTAACATAAAGCTAATTTATACAGATATTACTGTTAATGAATCAAATGTTATAAGTTTATTACCTACATTCAAGTGTGAAAGCTTAAGGATTTTTCAACATTATAAAATATCTTTGATCATAATTACCAATTAACAGTTATAAATATACAAATTGTATTAAATTTCCAATAACAATTATGTCATAATCACAAAACATTGTCTATGAAAATGGTTTAAATTTTATTAAATCCAAAACTTCTATGTATACTACTAGACGGGCACTACGGTACCAATACATTGTGCAATAAGTTACGGTCAATTCTCCGTAACTCCTTTAGTCGACAGCAAGCAGGTGATAAGACTAGTTCTTCGTTTTGTAAACCGGCGAAGGATATTTTCGACATACGCTGTCGTTAATGTGCGGACTGTGTCAACATGATTTTTAAATTTATTTTAGCATTTGCATATAAGCAATAATTGTGGTAAATGATAATACAACTGCATGGCATATTTATTGTGCCGGCTACCCGCCCAGCCGGCGCCTGCGCGGTCCACAGCTGATTTTTGTTCTGAAGTAGTAACTAGTAGCATAGGTATAGTACATAGAAGTTTTTGTTTTGTTTTAAATGTACAACATGTTAAGTCAAATCATAGTATCTTTAATTATTAATACAACTTTCTACAAACTTGCCCCATTACTTATCTTTATGTTATATTTTAGAAATTTACATTTTACATGATAAAAATAGTATAGTTGTTACCAGAAAATTATTTTAAAAATATAATTGATTTAATCTTTGGTTAAGAACAGACTAATTGTTTGTTTATTTAAACTTTTTTGTTTTTCAAATAAAAATAATAAAGCAATTGAAAGATTTTTCCATAAGGAATTTTTAAAACAACAAAGGACCAATATATTTTTTATTTCAATTTAATTAATATATGAAGTCTATTAAATGATGATGATGATAGCATAATATTACTTTTAACGTTTACTAGTCGAACTGTAAGGAACAAGTGTTGTGAAAGTATGTACGACTTCATTTATATCAAAATAAAGTTAAGATATAAATTTTTTGGTTATATATTACTAACTTCCTTCAATATTATTCTATATAGAAAAAAATCACTATCACATTTATCTGTCTTCCGATGTTTCCAAAAATTGAGCATAGACATCTCGGTTGCATTCACCCTTGTCGTTAAATTTGTATTTGTAATAAGAACCATCGGCACAAATAACTGAAATTTTTTGATTTATCATTAGATATCACATGATTCAAATTTTAAACATTATTTATTAAATATATATATATATATATATATATATATATATATATATATATATATATATATATATATATATATATATATATATATATATATCTGTTATAACTTATATTATCAAGAACAATAAATACAAATCATATTATTATAAAAATCAAACACTTTGTAAGTGAACTGCGACTACATTTTCAAATTTCAACCTATTCAAACTCATTTGTTTTTAAACCAATTTTACTTACCATACGGAGCTAAAAAGAGATAATATATCGGTCGCCTTTTAAACTTCTGTTCTTTCTTGGCATGCATTTTACCTACCTGTGTTAACCTTTAACTATGGACACTTATTTTTGTAACACTAGCATGGACATGGGGTCTGAGAAATGGAAAGGGTCATTTGATATTAATAGTGCTAATAAATAAATAAAAAAGAATTTAGAGTAGATGCTTGGATTATAAATAGATATGAGAAACATTTCTTATAAAATACAAATAATTGCAATAAAATCAAGAAAAACTTTTCAATCTTAATTGCAGTGGCGAAGCCTCTATAGAAGCCCAGAAGCCCGGCTTGCCTTATCAAGCTGAATCAATCAATAATATCAAGTAATAAAATAACTCGTAAACTGTTTTAAACTATTTTAAGTTTCCCGCGCGCTCTATTCGACCTCGTAGCCTTAGGAATACTGCTGTCATACATATAAGGATAGTTGAATTGAGCGATTCGTTGTCTCCCTCGCACGCGTGGGCTTTTTACCGGGCTTTCGAGAAGACGATCGCTCCCTTTCTAACCGTGGCAAAATGTTCTCTATGGTTCATAAAAGATAGCTTGATCTCTGCGACAGCAGGAAATGGAGGGAGATGTGTGAGGGGGAGGGTTTAGGATAGGACGTGTCAGTAAAATCACGCCTATGAAGTCCTGAATTTCTTAGTACCTGTCAATGTCATACTTTATGGGCTAAGCTATCTTTTATGAACTATAATAAAATATAACTATGAAATGTTTATATAGCAATTACTATTGAGCCACAAGCCTGGCTTTGCCCTGAAGTTGTTTAGGAGTGCGTTAGCGACTAGCGAATGGGGTGCGGGCCATTCATATGCAAGTTCACCTCACATTTCAATGTTTATGTTTGTTTTTGTTGTGTTTGTTAAAAAATTATGCTTTTTCAAAGATTTTCAGTAAATATGGGAGGATAATAGTGTTCATTGTGATGAATATAAGTGTGTTGAAGTGCTAATCGGCGAGGAAAAGGTAAAATCTTTAAAAATGAAATTTAATATTCAATAAACATACTTTTTACTTCACATACTTTAAATTTAGGTACAGGACTCTTTAGTATTAAAGTTTAATTAAGTTAGGCGTATTTAAAGGTTTAATAACTCAATATTTATATTACCATATGAATTAAAAGTATCATTTTGGACAGGCAGCATAAAATATGAGACACCTAGGTTTAATTTTATAGGAAATAAGTGTTACAATCTTTTTTTAACGTGAAGCCCAAATTTTAATGTAATAAATCAAAAGTCTGTGTTAACCTTTTTTTTGTAACTCTAAACAATGTAGTTGTTACAAAAAAAAGGTTAACACAGATAGATAAAATACGTGCTAATAAAGAACGGAAGTAAAAAAAGCGGCCGATATCGTGCCATCTCACACGTACATTATTCGGATTCGGATATTTTTAAGCCCGTATGGTAAGTAAAAATGATTGGAGAACTTAAATCGGTTTGAATTGGTTGTAATTTAAAAATTTAGTCGCAGTTTACTATAAGTGAACTGCAGTTCATGGACACTACTATGTGTCCGAGGGCTAATATTTATGCTGAATTTAAACAAAAAAGGCTAAAAATAGATTGAGTTGAACAATTGATATTTTCAAAAGTTATCGTGTTCAACCCTCCATCCGTATTTGATAAATCTATACACCATAAGCCACTAAAACCACTATTTAATGTAAATAGCAATTAATCGACTTAAAAAAAGTATAAGTTCAACAATCATTTATCTTTTCGACAATGGGTTTTTATATAATTTATATGTTCAATATGATTGTTAGACATGATTTCATGCAACAAAACGTCAGATTCTTGAATTTTAGGCCTTAGTAGAACATACATATGCGCTTTGTGCTTAAGGCATGCAATAGTATTCTATTTTATTCTTAGAGTATAAAAACATTTCTTTAACAAACACAGTAAAAAATAATAAATTAAAAACAATCATGTTCCTCTTGGTGTACCGACACTATCTTAGTGAACAGACTATAACTATATTGGCTCTCAAGGGTATAGTTTTGAGACTAGAACACAGTAGTGCAGACACTGCTTTTGGTAGCAGAAACGCGGAAACGGGGTTAGTAATGAAGATCAAGCAAAAATTAAATTGTTATTAATAATTATGCTATTCATACCAAAAAAGTACTATCCACCATTTATGACTATTTTTAAATTGCATGTATGTTATACATAATAAACATGATTTTTACATGTTATTATATATTTTATAATGGTCCTAAATATATAATTTATAATATAAAACTATATAATATGACATTATATATTATAGTTATAATAATATAACTATATATCTGAAAGGTGGTATAGGCGACCCCCCACTAGATGGAGTGACAATATGGTAAGACATGCAGGAAGTTCATGGATGCAGATGGCCCAGCATTGTGCTTTGTGACATTCCTTGAGGGAGGCCTATGTTCAACAGTAGACTTGTGAAGGGCTGTAATAATGACGATGATGATGAACTATACAATAGAAACTTATTATACATTAAATCATTTCCAAGCTTGCATAATATATTTCTATGATAAGAATGTATGTATTATTTTCTTACATTACCATCTACTAAAATTATTTAAAAATAAAAAGTAATTGAAAATAAAAGCAAACTTTCAACACTTGTAGAAAGTTAAATTAAATTCAAATGCATTACTTACCAATTATAGAACTCTTATCAACTCCAAAAGCGCAAATGCAAGGAGGACCATTTGGTATTGTAAATTTGCAAAAACTCCAATTGCTAGAAAAATATTTTGGCAGAAAATTTACAGTTGCCAAAGTGGATTGCTTATTCAACTTGTCATCCTCTAAACTGAAAATGTGCACTGTTCCATGATCAGATGTTACACATAAGTTAGTACTTGTGTGATTAAAATTAATACAATATATTGTAGCCTGTAACAAGAAAATATTATTATTTTTTAGGATTCTGTTGCAGCATTATTAATAGGTTATACTGGGTAGTAAACTACTACCACCATCACCACTACTGGGCACAGTTCCCCTTTCTACCTGAGAAGGTCGTTAGGGCAAGATAAGAGTCTCCAAATTTGCATGGCTTCAATCCAGTCTTTGGAATGTTTTTTTTTAATTTATTAGACATATTGATTTCCTTATTCCTTAACTACTGAGCATGTTTTTAATCAAGATTTTTTCAGTGGTAAAGCTGGGGATCAAACTGTTTGCTTTCTAGCTGACTGCTGATGATGGGCACCCATGGCTTTTTGGAGCATCCCCTTCAGTTTAGGTTGCAATTCCCCTTCAATTGGGATAATAAATTATTAGAAATGTATACTGCAAGTGCTGCTATACATAAACAAGGAATGCAACATTTTAGTTAAGTTTTCTTATGGAGTGGGGTGTCATTAAAACGATTTTTTTTAAATAATTGAGCTTCCCCAAATTACTTTTAGTAATTAAACTTAGTTCAATAAATATCAAGTATATCTTGCCCCTTCAACTAACTAAAAATCTTGGGGGGGGACAAAACCTCTTAAAGGTTGTCCCTTAATCAAATGACGTGTGAACAAGGGGAGGGTGTCGGAACAAAATACAATTAAGCACAATGGGGGGATTGATTTAAATTTGGTATTTCTTTCTTTTCTTACTTAAACTAATATGTTCTTGAAGGAAAAAGAAATACAGTGAATTTCGGTTATAACAATGGCGGAGGGACCACTTTAATGTCCTCGCTATATCCGGAGGTCTCTATGTCCGAAATAATAAAAAGTTATGTACATATTTACTTATCATTTATTTAATTATGTTATACACGGGTGTTATTGAAAAAATGTGTTATAGTGCACTGTTTAGTTTTTTTTGCATGCTGTAAGGTGTATTCCATTTTCATAATTCCTTCAACATCTAAATTATTTTTGTATTTACTTTGTTCTCTCACTGGAATTGCTATGTAACTGATTCACAAGTTTAACTTCGTAAACATGCTACATATTCCTACATACAAACAAAGCATTAGTTTGACCATCTGTGAATGTAAACAATGAATAAGAAAGCTTAATAGTTTTATGAATGAGTCTTTGTGCTGTTGCCGACTCAGTTGCAATATCTGCAAGGGATTTCTAGGAATCGGTCATAAATGGTTCATAAAAAAAACAAGTCCCTATACCCGAAATTGACGATATAACGGAATTCGCTATTACGGAATGAATTTCTTACAAAAGTATGCTTTAAATTCAAGGGATGTAAGTTTGACGTCGCTATAACCAAAAAGTCGTTACAACCGAGGTCGTTATTAATGAAATCCACTGTAGTTAAAAATTTATTAAAGCATAATTAAATATTACCTGATGTGCACCACGCCTAAGTTCTGCTAACTTCTGGCCACTATTTGTATCAAAAACTCTGATGAGAGTCCCTTTAGTGGAGGCTGTAGCCAATCTTGTTCCACCTACATTAAGTGCTAAGCAACTAAGTGGAGCTTCATGAGCACTTATAAGATGACCTTCAGGAGTATTGCTTGATCCCGCTTGATTACTTAACTCTACAAGCTAAAATATGTCTGAGTTTTCAAAGTTTTTATCAAGTAATATCTTAACGCTAAGTTTACACGCTTGACAAGTCTTAGCCAACTTCCACAAGCCCAAGGGCTAAACAAATGCTAGACTCGCATTTAGGAATCATTTAAATGCTTGTGAATGCATTAGTGTGCTCTAAACAGACAAGCATGAAGGACATCGAATTTATTTCAGCTATTATGTTTGGTTTCTTTAAATATTTGAAGGGAGTTGTCATTATTATTTCTTTTTCAGCTTTAAATTCTTTTACTAGCTTTGCATACATTTGGTAAGTAAACTTTCTTTTTTTCTTTATAGTTGACATAATTTTGACTACAGATGCATGGTTTACACTGGTAATATTCCAGAATGGTTCACCAGCCACTTATTTTGCGATTGAAGATTTGCTACAGAGAAATTTGCCCATCTTTTGTGAAATACAAGCATTACTAATGTGCACCAATGTGCGAATTTGTGGCAAGCGCACTTTAATTTATGTTTAGAAACAGACTCTCGACTGGAATGGCAACAAGCCTCTCAAAGTTCACACAAACCAAACTAAATGGGTTGGGTTTACAATTCGGTCGCCTGAATTTGAAGATTCTGTCAATGTGAGGGAGTCAAAGGGGTTTATCTGAAGCACCCCCACTCAATTTTTTCTGCCGGAGCAGCGTCGAAGTATTTTTAATTATTTTTTAAAAATATTGGTAAATGACTAATTTAATTACGTTTTTGACATTTCATCTGTCAATGTCATATCGATATATAGTATTGAATCGATCTAGTGAATCGATATTTCACCCTAGAGAATCGAGATCGAATCTTTTTCTGTTTTATTAAGATTTGCAAAATTATTTACAATTGGTTGAATGTACCCCAACTCGTAAAGAATGACAGTTTTTAATTTAATTATTCAATGTTATCTGTACTTTATTGTATCTTTTGATATCGTAAATATAAACTTTTAACGCAAATAAAAAAAAAAACGATTTTTGCGAAATCAATCTTTAAGATTTCGATTTTTTGTGAATCGATTCATCTAATTTCGATTTGAATCGATTTAAAAATATGTAAAATTAAATCGCTATGCCGGCCATTTTGTTGACAGCTTTTCGTCATGGTGTTGCTTCCGAGTTTCAGAATTTTGGTGAATAGTGAAATATTTGTGGCGGCGGAATACTGCTAAATATCGCAAAGATCTTTTCTTACAAATGGTGGCAGCCATAAATTATGTTTATAAATTAAAGTAGTTACGAAAGTTAATAATTTGGTGTTATATCGAGTGCAATAGCGCGAAGCGAGCCTGGGACGTGGAGCACCCCGACTCGGACAGGTTAGGTTAGAAGAGGATGACGGGGTCGTGTGAGAGCGAAGCGAAGCGACGATAGACCCGTCATCCTCTTCGTGGTTATTTTTTTGTAAACCACTCAGAAGTAGGAGCCCCGCGACGCGGGGCTCCGTCGACCGGACTTCCCTCGACTGCACCACGTTAAGTGGCGTGGGGCTTCCATCCTCCAACTCTCTCTACCCATAAATCAGGTTAAAATTGTCATAAAAATTACGAAACATAACCTCAAAATGAGATTTTTAAAAATAAATAAAAAAAAAAACTAAGCATGTCCGGCAGAAAGTGGAAGTAGGGGGTGACTCTACAACTCCTCCCCCTCCCCCCACGCCACCCCTCACCCCCAAATTCAGGCGACCGGATTGTAAACCTTACCCAACTAAATACCCCCGTTTACATGCTTGTGGATGCTTGCTGAGATTAGAAAAGCTTGTAAGCCCAGCATCAAAAATTATACTTATCCTTACCTGAACATGTCCAGTTTTCCGACTAGGGTAAGCAAGCAAGGCATTATTACTGTTTGGACAAACAACACAAAGTCCACGAGTATTTTGACATGTTTCAAATACATGAAGCAATAAAGGTTGTGCAGTAAAAGTATACACCTTAATCAAGTTCTCTGTAACATTTAAATTTTAAATAAACAGCAGAGTTATAACTAATAATTCTCTAATATTCTTTGCAATATAAAAAAATGTTACCTAAGACCACTACTATTCTATCTCTTCTTAGTTTTACAGCTTTAACTGGGCTATTAAAATCCAATGATATTGCTGAATCTTTTTTCAAATCATCCCAAATTATAACTCTATTCGGTGGATATAAAGGAGTTTTTCCTCCACCGACTAAGGCCATATAATTGCATCTGAATAGCATTTCTACGTAGGATAGACCACCTTCAGCAAAGTTCTGTCGTTCTTTTTCTTTAAGTGGGTCACTGTTAAACACTCTAAAACCATTCTCCGTCCCACAGGCAAAGCAACCTGAGAAATCACAATACGCGTGACTGACAAAATAATACACCACTACTGGAAAACAAGACACAAATGGAATACACACCTTGATCTTGATTAAATCCGACATATAACAAGCCATTTGAAAAAGTGTTTTCTTCTGACAGGTTCATCGTACAGAGATATTATCTAAATCAACAACAAACAATGGAACCTTAATAAATAACCATAATCAACTTTGCGGCTAAGCGGCTATTTTTCACACAAACACATATTCTATCATAATAAAAAAATAATGTTGACTGTTGACTTGACAGTTGACACTTCTTGATAGGGAATAGGGATATTCACTTAATATCGATATATCGAATTTGTTCGATGTTTTCCGTACGATATATCAGATTGATTCGATGTTTTGACAAATATTTATTGTATTCGATATATCGATATATTTATTTATAGAAACATCGAAAATTTTCTTTTTTAATTTTTTATAGAATCTATTAAAAACTATCTATCATAATTTTAATACTACTTGACTACTTCAATTTTAAATAAGGTTCATGTCCACGGTACCTTAGGGGTTAAGATAGAGACATCTGTGAGTGACCAGCTTAACCACTCAAGTCACGACAGTGTTGGACCAATTAGTCAGACCTATGGTTAAGCCTAAACATAGTAGGTTAGGCTATTGACAATATTTTTTTAATGAAGGTAAATATAACTTAGAGTGATTACCATGTTCATATCCAAAAATAAAAATTATCAACAATTATAATAAAATATCGAATTATTTGTATGAATGTTAAGTAAGCGCTAGAGAAACGACGATTGCAAGACGTTCTCGATAAATAAAATGTTTTGAGAAATTATCCATTACCCTGTAGTAGCGGTGTATGAACATCCATATCATCCCGTGGATGTCGTAAGAGGCAAACATACTTAGTGGAAAATCTTATTTTAAACTAGCTTCTGCCCGCGACGTCGTACGCGGATCCTGTTGCTTATGCCAGCGACAACGGGGTCGTCAAAATCGAAGATCTGAAACGTCTGATGTTGAATTCTAAGAGCCCGGGGACAGGAAAACAACGTGATTCGCGAGACGATTCGTGACGTTCTAGATCTTTCATTTTTGTAAGTCAACAGGAAATGCCCATCAGACTAAACAACTTTCGCTAAGACGTCATTCCTATATATGTTACAGTGTCGCTGGGTTTTGGATGGAGTGTAACTCCTTGTGTGTTATTAAGTTAATATATTGGTAATATTGTTTAGATCACGTTCACATGAGGCTTAAGTACTTATAGAACAAAAATACTTCAGCGCAAAGCTTCCGAGTAAACTATGTTGAAAGTTGACCCGTCCGGCACGTGAACATAAAGATTTCTAGAACTGTTAACCCGGGAAAGAGCGACGTACAACTGATCATGCGAGAAACAACTGAAACCGAGATCTACTCCAGCGACACGAAAAGTCTGCCCTTGAGCCTTATTAATTGTCATTGCATAACACACTGATACTGGAAATTGCATTATTTTAAAGTGGAATGGAAAATTATTTGGTATTATGGGAATTCTGGGAATAAAGACGGTTTCTCCTACACCGCAACCTGTTAAAATTTGAGCCTCGATTATATTTTGTTTCAACTGGGTTACTTTTAGCCGAGTTCCATTGCAAAGTTTTGGTGGTCTTAAATTTCGGAGCAGAATAATCGGAATGACAATTTTTAAACAAAATTCACGAGAAGGAAGTCCGGGCATATATAAAGAATTTAAAAATTCTATCGGGTAATTAGTGACTTCTTCTTGTTCGTTGACCATTCTATTTATTGAACTATAAAATTTGCTTTCCCCCTGTATATTCGACAGTATTTTGTTATTAATCTCAGATGCCTCGTCATTGGGAGGAGTTAAAATGGAGCTTTCGCATAGCCAAGAATTGTCCCTATTTAATATTTGTTACGTCACCGTAAACCGACGATAAAAGTGTGGTTGGGATTGCACTATACAACATAACTCAGGCGTCAGGATAAGTTTTCCTTGGTGTAGTTGTGGATAGGTACCTTCACCAATCTTTAATAATTTATCAAAAATTGACGATCATCCGGGTTATCTCCAGTTCTCACTCGCATGTTTATAGTCAAATGTACCGATTATATATCACGCCTCAAATAAGAGCTTTTTAGGCAAGCCCTACCTCATCAGCATGGGTTCCACGTGGTATTACCGGTGAGGTTTGTCGGAAATCACCACAAAATAAAACCGTGATACCGCCCATTGGTCGATCATTTTGTCTTATATCCCTTAAAGTTCTGTCTACCGCTTCTACTCCTTTTCGGTGGGCCATCGTACATTCATCCCATATGATTAAATTACACTCACGTAATACCTTAGCTTTGTCGCTATTTCTTGAAATACTACAGGTTGGACTTTCCGTGATATCTAAATCAATTGGTATTTTAAACATAGTGTGAGCAGTTTTACCTCCTGGTAGCAATGTTGCAGCTATACCTGATGAAGCCACGGCAAGAGCAATTTTACGCTGATTTCGAACATAAGCTAATATTAATTTAGTTAAAAAGGTTTTCCCAGTTCCTCCAGGTGCATCTAAAAACCATATTGTTCCCAAATTATTCTGAACACTCTCGCACACGCGATCATAGACTGAACGTTGTTCTGCAGTCATTATTGGGACACCGTTTTCTAATGTTGCCAGCAGTTCCATTGAGTCGTAACCAATCTCTGCGGAAAATTCCCTATTGGTAACCTCTCAGACTGAAGTTGGTGTTGGCAAACCATATTCACAGATTGACTTACCGCCTACTGCTGTTAAGTCTTAAGTCTTCCTGAAGAGCTAATAAGCACAGATTTATGCCAAGATTACGGAAATTATCATTAGTTGCGCCTTCATCATTGTGAGATATATTCCGAAGAAAGTCTTCTGCAAATTTTTCTTTATATTTTTCCCATAATTGTACAGTATCTGACAAATTACAAAATGTGAGTAATGTTACAGATAAATGGCGTAACCGTCGTGGATTATCACTAACACAGGATTCTGCTAAAGCGTCATCCCAATGATGATCATTTTCAAGAAAACGACGCGCTTGGCAAGCTGCATGATAAGTTGGATAAACAACATCGTCTACTTTTCTCAAATCTATAAATGATGTTGGTCTTCGCACTGTATGTAATAATAATCGCAAATAGAAACACACAGCGTTGTTAGGATGAACGGTATACACTCTACCAAGAACATGTTCTTTGAAAATACCTGACTCGCCATCTACAGGCCTGCCACAGCGTCTTTGATTAGATCGTATATAAACTAATCTTTCGGTTTCAATTTTTGCGTAAATGTCAACAATAAACTGATTGAATAAGCCACGAAAACGTTGAAAGTATACAAATCTATTCCGTCTCACTTGCAAGTGGTAACAATAAAATTGAAGGCATTACATCTTTTTATTATAATTAGGTGCGCCTGTACGCGGATCAGTTTGGTATAAAGAGAAATTATAACCATCTTCCCCTCGAGAGTATATCAAACGATATTGCAAACTATCGTAAGCCCTGTGGGTTTCGTAAATACGTTGCAAACGATTGTCTCTGGATCGGATAACGATATCACGCCTACCACATTCCTGGTTGACCAATACTACAGCAACTTCATTCGTGGATGGAACGTTATAACGCCCAGGGTGCTCCTGAGTTGGACGCCTATCGGTATTTATAACAACTTTATAATTGTTATCTTAATGCCGATTTAAACTGTATACATACGAACTAACCTGATGCAACATGTTCTGAAGTTGTGAAATAAGTTCAGTATTTAAATTCGGGAAATATTGATTTCTTATATTCGACTGTTCGTTGTAGTCGGATACAAAATATATTTGAAGAAACTTAGGTTGGTTTACAGACAAAAGAGATCCTATCAAATGATAAACCTGACCTTGTATCTTAAAAGTAGGCATGAAAGGACCTTCTGAGATTTGTTGAGCACCAAAGGATGTCATTTGAAACGCACTAATATAAGTGCGAATATTGTCTAAGAACTGTATAAATTGCACATGTTCCCCTAAAAGTAGTGACTTCAAAGGTTCCGGTGGATCTTCGAACAAAGGCAAATTTATTTTACCTCCAGAACAACAGAAACCACCCGACTCCTTATTCCACTTTGAAGCATTACAAAAAGAACATACTACGTTCATATCGCCTATTACAGAAGATGATCTGTAATCAATTGTGAGGTTATAAGCAAACCCACTTTTATATCTGTCGGACCACGCCACCGAATTTGTAGATTGATCTTCTATAATAATAATAATAATAATAATAATAATACTTTATTTTCAGACTTTGTCCATAAAGATGTTAGTAGAACAATAAGTACTTAAAAACTAATGTTAGTATTTAACTTTTTTTTTTTTTTTTTTTTTTTTTTTTTTTTTTACACTTAACAAATTAAATATCCTTCTACGTTACAAATATCTTATTTATTCAATTTTATATGTAGGCTCAACCAGTGTTTCATAATGGCAGAATCCCACCTATCAGCAAGTGTATTCAGGATGCTGTTGGTAGAGGTACGTAGTCGATTCATTAATGAAGCGGACCTTTTACGTATTATGGCATGAAAGCCATCCGTGTGTGCCTCGACGAACATGGCAGAGGCACTACAATAACGCGGCAATCCTAACAGCACCCTGAACGCATTATTGTATTGTACACGCAGGACATTGTATGTCCGCTGCTTGTATCTGACCCACAAGTTGCCTGTGTAAAAGCACTGACAATAAGCTTTAAAAAGCGTAACTTTAACTTCTTTAGTACATCGTGCAAACCTGCGGGCCAGCATATTACAGCGAACAGCCAACGCCCTGCGTTAACTTTCTATATCCAAGTCATCCTCTAAGTCCTCTGTTACCCAGTGGCCTAAGTACTTAAATTTGACGACTCTGTTCAAAGGACTATCACAGAGTTTAACAGTAGGCATGGTGAGCTGCCTTTTAGTGCCTGAATTAAAAACCATGAGCTCGCTCTTCGTTACATTATACTTGAGCCCATGGGTCTTTGCGTAGGATTCACAGATCCCTAGCAGCCTTCTGAGTGCACCTATCGTGGGGCTCAGCAGTACCATGTCATCTGCATAGCTTATGTTATTTATGCAAACTCCGTCTATAGAACAACCGACCTTAGTGCTGCTGAGCTCCACAATCAACTGGTTTATGTATAAGCTGAAAAGCGTAGGCGAACTCAACCCTCCTTGTCTCACCCCGCATTCCAGCCCATACCCCTCAGAAAAGCTGCTACCCCATCGCACATAGTTTATTTGGTTACTATACCAATATTTAAATACGGAGACAATTTCCTGGGGCAAGTCAGTCTCCTCCTGTAACTTTCGCCATAAAATGTCATAAGAGACAAGATCAAAAGCTTTTGATAGATCCAAAAAACAGGCATACACCGGCGTTTTCCTATCTGTGTAGTACCGAACAGTCTGCTTAAGACATAAAATTGCACTCTCTGTTGATAGTCCAGGTCTGAACCCAAATTGAGCATCATGCAGATGAATGTGTTTTCTCAATTTCCTGTCAAGCAGACCGTCCAGCACCTTAGCCACTATGGTGGCTAGTGAGATTGGCCTGTAATTATTTAAATCTGATATATCTCCTGTTCTGTTCTTAATGATAGGCACCACAATTGTCTTCATGAGATCAGTCGGAAGATATTGATGAGCTATACATAAACTTAGAAACATAGCCAACACTCTTGGCAGATGGGCACCAGCATGTACCAGATGTTCAATGCTAAGCCCATCATGCCCTGGTGACTTACCTCTAGTCATAGAATTAATTACTTCAAAAACTTCTTTGGCAGAGATCCTTACACACGATCTACCTGCAAAACGTCCACCATCGATTAAACTCGATGACGGACCCCGCGGTGACTCTACTTTAAAATGCTCTTTAAATAGATTGGCTATGTCTCCAGGCTGGTTGTGACCCTGAATATTAGCGGGAAGGCTCGACTTGGGATTCAGTTTATTCGTAAGATTCCAGAATTCTTTAAATTTCTTTTGCGAATGACTTGATGCGATCTTATCCATTCTTAATTGCTCTGCGTGATTTTGACACCATTTTAACTTTGACTTGAAATTCCGTCTTGTTTCACACATTTTATTATAATAATAACCCGAAGATGGCTTACCGTATAAGACCCACGTTTGAAAGGCAAGTCGAGCCTCCCCGTGGGCGTCTCTAACGTATTTATTCCACCCCACAACATATTTCTTATTCCTTTTGTTATTACAACTTGCCTGAGCTGATTCTCTAAGAATAGTAACAATATTACCGTACATGTTATCTAAAATTAATTTGTGATTATCATTAATACATATATTATTACAACAATTCATAAACTCCTGTGGAAAATTTACGTCTTTTAATTTAGAGTGACACAATTTTTTATAAGTTTCTATTTGATTATTATTTCTGACACCCCAAATTATTTTATTATTACAGAAATAGCTTACCATATTTTTTGATCTCAATAAGTTAATATTGCACTCGATCAGCAATGGAACATGATCCGACCAGTAGGTATCATACAGCACAGTGACATCTATGACTGAGCGCCTTGCGGCCTCAGTTACAACGCAATGATCCAACCAGCGCCGACAACCGTGCGCATCACTAGTGTAAGTATAGCTGCCCGCTGGGAGGACCTCCAAATCAACACAAATCAACTGCTGATCCGTGCAAAAATTTATCATTTCGTTACAAAATAATGTACCGGGATGAGAATTAAAGTCACCTAACGCAAATACAGAGTCGACATTTTCATTTTCAATAATAGCACTTATCTCGCTCATGCACGATGTAAATTCTATTAAATTGTCTACTGAATCCGTTGGCATATAAACCGAGAATATTATGTAAGTTCGTTCACTATGGAACACTTTAATTGCTGTGAGACGCACACTACTACATTCGACCACACTGACACAATCAAACGCATTTTTCCTCCACAAGAGGGCCACACCACCATAGGGTCTGCCTGTGAGTATACCGGACGACGTATCAACCGCTGACTTACCGGTATAGCTGAAGTCTTGATGTATCTCGCCCAGAAACGTTATGTCATCAGGTAGAAGCCATGTCTCCTGTAGCGCTAGCACGTCAGACTTTTCACACAGGTGTCTTACGCATTCCAAAGAGCGTTTAACAGATTTGCAGTTAAAAGTAGTAAATTTTGCCGTACTATACATGAACGATTTTTTTTTTTTTTTTACACATTATCTGAGGTCTCCTGATGTCTGTACTTAAAATGCACAAATCTTCTGAATGAGATGCCGTCCGGCCAAAGACTGTCATTTAAAAAGACAGCAAGTTTTTGTTTGGACACGTATAATTTGAACGCATTATATCCTTTATCTTTTTTCATAGTCACTTTTTCTAGTGTCACTAACTCGTTAGTTTTATTCCTAATATAATCAACGATATCTTTTTCTAGCGTCTCTCTATGTACGTTAGATATAAATAGCGGAATTTTCAAGTCCGCTGATTTAAATTTCTCCTCAGGTTTTATTTCTGCTTTTCCTGTCTTACCTATAAAACGGTTACGCAATCTGCGCTTTTGAACTTTTATCCAGGCCTCTGGCGGTTCTTCATTTTTCCAAGCTTCACCTTTTTTCAATATTTCGGCCATAGTTAGCGAAGACTGAAAATTACCATCACAAGATGTATCTTTTATTGCGTTATTATTGTTAGAGAACTTATTCACTACAATTGTTTTGTCATCATTCATCCTGCTTTTACTCGGTGAGTTCTGCATTGGAATTGGAGTTGTTTTAGCGCCTCCTGCGCTGAATGATTGCCGCCCATCCGCACCGTTATAAGCAGTCACGCCTCCAGATGTAAAGAGGTCAGCCTTATGCATATCTGACACAGGTGCGAGTGCATCGACACTATCACGAGCACGACTAGCTACTTGTGCGATAGCTATCTTTTCCGTCTCTGTCTGTACGTCAGTTGTTTGTAACGGTACATCAGCTGTTGATAACTCGTGCGACAAGCCCATCGGCCCACTGTCGCCGAACGTAGTACCCACATCCAACAAGAATGCACTGCACCTTCTACCTACCTTATGATGATGAGCTGGTGATGTGGATGTTTTTAAGAAAGATTTATCTTTCTTTAGCTCTTCTAGGTGCGTCTTGGTTACATAATTATCCTTGATGATCTTAACCTCCTGTTGCAACAGAACTATATCCTTCAGCAGTCGAGTTACATCTACATGATCGAAAGTGACCGGCGGAAGTTTTTGTAGGTCACGAGCAACAAAAATGGGTGCACTATCAGGGTCAGTTTCTTTGAAAAGACTAATGATGTCTTCTAACTCCCTTTGGGATTTCCCATCTGTACGCCGAGTTAATTTTCCATCTCTACGTCTTATATTTTTTCTTTTACCTGAGGGCAATGACTCGAAAAGCAAACTTTTTGCATTAGTAATATCTTCAGCTGTAAAGGCACTACTACAAATTCGGACAATGCTCTCCTCGTCCATCACATCTGCCTTGTTTTGTATAAAGGCAAGCACTTCGCTTATCACAATATTACAATTTGTACATTTTACCACTTTGGACGCCATTGTCTTATCGTACAATGACCTTTCGCTTACGCTCAAAGCGAACACATGTACGCGCTTTGCCGTTCCGCGTGCGACTGTTAAGACTATGTCGTAATCTGTCTGCAGTAAGACGGGCCTCTCGCTGTTCGTCCGTTTCAAGAGACCGAATATTTTCAATTCTTAATCTTTCATTCGACAAACTTATTAATCGTTCTTGTCTCAAAGAATTGTAATATTCGCGTCCCGACTCTAGTCATTGTTCATGCTCATGTTCATCTTCAAGAGATCGAATAATATTATGGTGCACCCTATCATTTGTCAAACGGTCTTCATATTGAGTAAAAGTTTCATATTCTCGAGATAAAATATGACGTTCATTCCCTCTCAGTGTAGGTTTCGGACTCGCGAGATAATGTATACCGTTCTCGGTCAGCTGTGAGCCGCAATTCTCGTTGAGAATGTGTTCTCGGTTAATGCCCGTGGTGTAGCTCGCTTCGCTCTATCAGCTGCTAATCGCACATCTCTCTTTCTGAAGAGCTTTCATTGGCTCGAGAAGTTGAGGCACTAACTCTCACAGAGTTTAACCGATGTGCTCTTTCCTCTGCCGATTCTTGAGAACGCACACTCTTAGCTTCTCTCGAATTTCAAAAAAAAAGTAAAAAAGGTAAAAGTCTCCACATAACCACGCAGCCGGCTGCGTGGTTATGTGTATGGATTGGCTTACCGATCTGACCAGAGAACTCTAAGCCGTATACGGACGTGACCCTCCTTGGCAGAAAGTAGGGCGCATCAAGCTCGCACTCGGACCCCCCGCCTTTTTATACCTCCCGCCGCGAGCCGCGTCGAGCGCGGCGACCGTTACACAAAAATAATCCTTATAGCATGATTCAGTATTCACGCGCGATGGCTTATTAGCGTATTTCATGTATAACTTTGGTGTTTCTATACCGATTTCTATGATTCTTTTTTATTGAATAGATAATAATGTTAACTTTTTTTTGATTAGGGATGAGTGAGAGTGTTATAAACGTAAGAGTAGACAAATATAATCAGAAATTTCCGAACTGCTAAGCTATCGGGAGTTACACGTGTTATTGTGTGTCAACCATAAAAGATAGACATATGCTCTCGTGGGATATTTTTATATAATTTTAAGGAGAACATTTACGTTATACATGATTTCTGTGTAGCTTTAACCATTAAGACTGCACACGCGACGGAAGCTTGAAAAATGGAGTAATTTCTCCCGTTTCCCCAACACTTCCCTTTACTGCTCTGCTCTTATTGATCGTAACGTGATGAAAAGTATACTATAACCTGCCCAGGAGTATGAAGAATGATTGTACCAAGTTTCGTTAAAATCCGTCGAGTAGTTTTTGTTTCTATAACGAACATACAGACAGACAGACAAAATTTTACTGTATGCATTTTTGGCATCAGTATCGATCACTAATCACCCCCTGATAGTTATTTTGGAAATATATTTCATGTACAGAATTGACCTCTCTACAGATTTATTATAAGTATAGATAACCGCGACCAGTTACAGGAAAGTAACAGTGAAAAATCATCGTAACTTTGTCACGTTGGATAACTACTTGAAACATTAGAACGACTTATAACGTAACTTTAAATATGCATTTTAGATTTAGTATTGTGTTTTATTTCAGTAGTCTTTACTAGTTAAGCTATGTTACTCTGGTCTCTGATTCTACATTCATACATACAATCAAGGACCACAAACTTTGCGCGTTTCACTAGAAAAAGTTAATATAAAATTTTTGTGGAAAGTATTCGATAGTGAAAAATATCGATATATCGATAAACATCGATGCTGGGATCCGATGTTTTACATCGAATATAAATATCGATATATTTTTAAATGGAAATGACCCTATTACACTACCCTAAATCAGGGCCTGAATGAAGGGTGGGTGTGGCCCCTAGTTAGAGTGGTCAGTTATTACACTACACTGATTTTATGCTCTAACTCAGTCATAGGGACTGGCAAGTGAAAAAAATGTATCGATATTTTAAACAGTATCAACATAATATATCGCGTGATAAATATCGATACATCGTCGTGTTTTGCATGATGTAGTAGGGTAAAAACTAAAATTTTATTAATGGACGTGTTTGACAAGAGCACATAATTGATTTTGTTATTTAATGTTTTGTCTTATTAAGTAATGAAATAAGTATAAAATTTTAAAATATATCGAAATTGATACGACTTCGATATCCTGAAATAGATATCGATATAATTTACCCAAGCCAGCCAACTTATACGCAGTCTGAGTGTTTGGCACAAACTAACTAGATATACGCTTGAGTCTGGGAGGGAATCTTGAAGCGGCTGAACGTTAAGTCACCTGCCCTATACATATACTTGATCTATGATGCCACTTATATTATCAAAACAAACAAAGTCGCTTTTGCTATAGCTGTCATTGCGACAACATTCATTAAAGAAAAGCGCAGGAAAGGAAAGATATTGGTGAAAGAATATTTAAAGCTTAGGAATAATCACTAAATTATGCGGATTCTCGGAGTTCTGGAGCCAAATGAATTCCGAAATTACTTGAGAATGGAGGAAGAGGAGTTCGAGGAACTATTAACTTTAGTGACTCCATATACCGAAAAAAAAATACGATTTTAAGCCAGAGTGTAAGTGCTAGGCACAGATTAATTGTCACTCTACGATTCGATTCTAGCTACAGGAAATAGTCATCAAGATACAAGATTTAGCTCCTTGATTTCTCAACCACTTTAGTCTAAAATAGTAAATAAATAATAGTAAATAAAGTAAATGAGTGATTGTAAATCCAGCCTCTGAGAATGGGTTACCGAAGCTGCCACGATAAGCAAATAAATCTTAACTAGGCTATGAAGGCCGGGAAATAACTTTTTCATGGCATCCCACATCTCCAGAGCATCTCCCTTTATAGAAGTGACAGGTGATTACATGGATAGATGAAACTCTTCTTTGGCTTTAGTTTTATTTCTTATGTTGTAGGGCGTTTATTCTTTATTGTAGTTCAATATGTCACCTTCAGTATTATAGAATTTTTTGAATACATTTACGAAACTATACTGAAATACAAACAGGTGAATGACCGTTCATCCATCAAAACCAATATTTCAGAAAATGATTGTAACGAACTTAGAAGTACCGTAAGCCAATAAAATAATTTCCATTACAAAACAACTATTACCACATAAGACTGTATTTAAGCTATTGATTAAGTTAAAGCTCAACAACATAATTATTAATAAGAAAATGGATAAGACAATTTCAATCCATTTCCAATATTTGTAAACTTATGTTAATTAATTATCACAATAAAAATAACTACAATTTTATATCGAAAATGAAATCACCGATAGAAGACAATGGCACTCCTGAATTATTTTCGGCTTAGAGCTTAGACTTAGACCATTCACCTGTTTGTTGATTTGTATTTAGAATTTTCGGGATTGAATTATTTCTGCTAAATACCTTTAAAAATTTATTCTATATATTTATTTCTAACTTTAAAAATTTAGACGTTATCTAACTTTGATATATTTTCTAGGTGACATCAAATTCATGATAATCATAGTTCGCAACTTTTAACATACGAAATTTTACTATCTTTGAATAGTTGGTTATTTCGTAACCTTTGACGGCAAGCCAAAAATCGTTCGTAAAAGTAAAACATTGCTCATGAAGAACCATATTAATGAACGATATATCAATGAATAAAACCAAATTTACGGATTTTATCGCGTTTATTTAACTACTTTTACTTATTTTTTTTTAATTCCCGACGTTTCGGGTGCTTTACAGCAACCATGGTCACGGGGGGGGACTGAGATGTTTGACGTCCCAATGTCATAGTTAGTCCGGCTACCTTCAGTTTTTGAATATTAATTTTTGGTCCGATTTACACAAAACGAGCTTATAGTATCATGAAGTCTTGCAGTGGTGTGCTTAGGTTTGGGTTTAATTTTGTTAATTATAGGATCCCAAGCAGGTAGCAGCACCCATCCATCTTCTCTATTGAAATTTGGATGTTTTTTAATTTCAATAGCCTCGCGTGTCATCCTTGGTAGGAATCGGTGTTCTTTTGCGAGAATTTGTGGTTTATCAAAACGAATGTAATGGTGGGGACGATCTTGAACATGTTCTGTCTGCAGTCTGCGAACATGTTCACAAAAACTGAAGGTAACCGGACTAACTATGACATTGGGACGTCAAACATCTCAGTCCCCCCCCGTGACCATGGTTGCTGTAAAGCACCCGAAACGTCGGGAATTAAAAAAAAAATAAGTAAAAGTAGTTAAATAAACGCGATAAAATCCGTAAATTTAGTTTTATTCAATGTGTAGTGTTCGCGTAAATTTAAGATATATCAATGTTTGAAAGAATCGATGTATTGCTTGCATCCCTAGTCGCATATCGAATAAGTGCCCTAACTGCCCTAAGTGTTATTACACTGCACTATGGCAAGGCCACTGCAGACAGGGTCCCTTTTGACGCCCTAATTAGGGACCCTTACTCCCTTTGTCTTATTACACCACCCTGATTAAGGACATAGGGAGCCTGATTCAGGGTAGTATAATAGGGGTAAAACCCCTAC